TTCTGAAAAACCTTAGCAAGGCTAATCTCTTAGGCTGAAATGTACCGATCCCTTTCTCTCATAAAAAACTACCTGTTCTGATCCAGTCCCTCAAACTGTTGCTTTTCACTACCTACTTCATCCAGTGAATAATTCTACCTTTGATATTGATGGCCAGGCATGGTGGCTTACACCTGTAATCTCAGCACTTTGGGAGGCTGAGGCGGATGGATCACTTGAGGTCAGGAGTTCAAGGCCAGTCTGACCAACATGGTGAAACCCCATCTTTACTAAAAATACAAAAATTAGCTGGGCGTATTGGTACATGCCTGTAATCCCAGTTACTAGGGAGCCAGAGGCACGAGAATTACTTGAACCCAGGAGGCAGAGGTTGCAATGAGCTAAGATCACACCACTGCACTCCAGCTTGGGTGACAGAGCAAGACTCCATCTTAAAATAAAATAAAATAAAACAAAAAATAAAAAAAGATATTGGCTACTGATAATGGCCTAATACTTATCCCCTTTTCATTGCAGGTGTTAACAGTGACTAAGTGCCTAAATATAAATTTGCAAATAAGTACCAATTGTATGGATCCCAACAAGTTCTATGAAAGACAGTTTGGGCACTGGGAACCATGACTTTTTGTCCTGCCCTCTCTATGTGACCTGGGACAAATCACAAGATCTTTTGGAAGCTCAGTATGCTCATCTGAAGCTAAGGAAGCACTACTTCACAGCGAGGTGGTCAGGATAAAGTGATAAGCCATGAAAATGACAAAATTTAGACACTATTGGTGTTAAATATGTGAAGCACTTAATAATTAAAAAGTGCTGTACAAATATGTGATATCATCACATATTGATATGTGATATTATCCTAGGCAATTTTATATATTTTCCCAAGTAGATAAAACTCTCCAGGAGGAGAATATACCAAAAGCATAACTTTTAGTAAACCCTGGGCATTTTAGGAAACCTTTTTTACAGAAGTCTTTTACATTTTCTTTTCTACTTTAAGAAATGATGACCAGTTACATAAAGTCTTATGAGAGTCAGATTATAATGAGCTAGTCATTACTGGCTGATGAATACAATAACTTTAAAAATTTACAAGGAAAAAAGAAAAAAAGTCAGTAAAATATTTACTATCAATGATCTTTCTTAATTATCTTCATCTTCCCTTTACACCCATATATTTATTTAATAATTTTACAGCAAAATAGATTTTTTAAGATAAAGGAAGCTCATTCCTGTAATCCTGGCACTTTGGGTGGCCGAGGAAGGAGGATTGCCTGAGTCCAGGAGTTCAAGACCAGCCTGGGCAACATAGCTAGATTCTGTCTCTACAAAATATAAAATTTTGTCGGGTGTGATGGTGCACACCTGTAGTCCCAGCTACCCAGGAGGTTGAGGTGCTGAGGTGGGAGGAATGTCAGAGCCCAGGAGGTCAATGCTGCAGTGAGCTGTGATAATACCACTGAATTCAGCCTGGGTAACAGAGCTAGACCCTGCCTCAAAAAAAAAAAAAACAAAAAAACAAAAAAACAAGCATTTGAAGCCAAAAAAAAAAAAAATTGCATAAGAAATTATGCAATCCAAAATCATTGATATTAAGTGTTTATCAATCATTGATCTAAAATAATGCATTATATTTATGAAGCTAAGAGGTCATAATCAATACCTGCTGTTTGGTATTGTCTTTTCACGGTTGTCTTTTTGTTGGTTTACTAAACGACTTTACCTGACAAATCCAGTTTTAACCTCAATAGGCTGTATATATACCAAGAGGCAGTCCAGAAAAAGAGAGAGCAGAGAGGAAGAGGGAAATTCCAGAAGAACAACTTGCTTATTTGGAGGAGGATAAAAATTCAAATATAAATGTTGCCTCTACATCACTTAAATATTCACAAAATATTCAAGAAATATTCCAAGCACAGAGTAAGTCACTAGGAAAAAACAGTTTCCAAGAGTCTGTTCCCCACTTATTAATATACAATACTCAACATGGAAAGTTAGCAAATAGAGACAGCCTGTGTTGAAACTACCTTAAATGGTTTTCAACATTTGTGGCATATTTATATTTGTACAGGATATGACTCAAAATTTGCTTTGAAGTATTTTATGTTTCTTACGGTAATAAAGAAAAAAAGTTGCTTTGTTCCAATTCTTCATTAATATTTAGATAAAGTCACAATTTTCTTCTTGATTTATTAAAAATGCTCTCCCACGAAATACTACAGAAGTATTTTTAGGAAATCTACATCTAAAATAACATCATTTTAACAAAATTAACTTTGATTTTAACTCATGCTTTCCTCATAATAAAAGCAGCTGCCACCTAGAAATTGTCTGCTTCAGGGTCCTGACATTCATTCATTTATTCATTTATTGTTTTTATTCCACTTAATTCCAAAAAGATTTAAATGTGTAATATGATATTAAGTGGAATCAGATAATTTTTAATGCAAAAATCTAATGAATGTAAATAAAAACAAAGTTGACCTACAACAAACTTTTGCACTGGGGAAGCACTGTGTGAGTACAGTGGAAAAAAGCAAAGATCTCGAAGAGCCCATTTGAAATCACTCATGAAAAGTTTGGTCAAATAAGTCTAATTTCTTTTTTCTTTGCAGTTTTGTGTATTATTAAGGCAGCCAAATACTATAGACAGGATATATCTTGATTGGAGTAAATGATTAGAAGAAGAATCTAATGGTATATGTTTAGACCTGAGGGAGAAATATGAACTTTGTGGAATTCACAGCTGATAACCTTTGCAAAAAGTGATGAATGACAGATTATCACAACCTAAAGGACAACATAACATCATGAGGTCATGGAGAAATACTAAAGTTTATAAATGGCAGAACATTTCTTAAAAAATAAAATTAATGCAACAGTAGGCTATAAACCCCAAATAATATTTGTTCCAACCACATACTTCATTGTACTCTATGTGAGAACATTATTTGGAACCCTAAATTTGGTTGTGGCATAACTCACATGTTGCAGGGGACTTGGCAAACAAGGATATATTCAGAAAAAGCATCAAGGTACTGAAATTTTTTGAAACTACACAATGTAAAAGCATTGGTTAAAAGAATGGACTGTGTTTTGACCTAAAAATTTAAGTCTCATTTGGGACACACTGGTAGCTTCTAATATCTGAACATCAGTTAATTGTAAAAAGGATTAGGTTTAAGCTATCACTCCCCGAGTAGAACTAGGACCAATGTTTGTGAGGAATGGAAGACAATCTCTAACAAACAGGAATAAACTGTTTCTAATAGAAACAGAAAAGCACTAAAAATATTAAGGATGTACAGTAGAAGGAAAATTGACTAGTCCCAACTCCTGATATCACTGTTCTTTTAACTTTAGGACTTTTAACTTTTAACTTTAGTTTTAACTTTTAACTTTAGTTCCTTAGCTTCTCTGAGTTTCTGTTTCCTCATCTATAGGTTAGATATCACTGCATTGAATACAGGAGTGAAAACACCACAGTTGAAAATGCCAAGGTAAGAGATGGGAAATGTTGAACTGGACAGTTACCATGGTTTTTTTCTATTTCTAAGATTTTATCATTTTATAGTAAAGGAAAATATAATAGTTTTCATCTTATGGTGAGGAATTATTGCTGAACTATGCATTCAACATACCTGTGTGTGTGTTTGTGTGATATTATGGGCCTCCTGTGTGTAGGTACTCTTCTAGGGATGTGGAAGTGAAAAAAATGTACAAAAATTCTTGCCATGGTAGACCTTATATTACAGTTGAAAGAAACGAACAGTAAAACAAATAAGTAAATTATATCACACAGTAGAAATCATAAGTACTGTATAAAAAATAAAGAAGGGAAATGCAAAATTTTAAATAGGGTCAATAAAATAACATCTGAGCAAAGATACATTAATTTCATCAATAATTTTTAAAATTTATTTTATTATCAAGTTCATTGGAAAACTTGGTGCCTTTTACCAAATCCTATGATGTGAATAATGTTTAAAATCACGTAATCTCGTCACAGAGTGTTATGGGTTGAACTGTGTTCTCCTAAAACTTCATATGTCAAATTCCTTGCCCAAGTACCTCAGAATGTATTTGGAAATAAGGTCTTTAGAGAGGTAATTAAGTTAAAGGAGGTTATTAGGGAGGCCCTCATTCAATATCACTGGTGATATTTGTGATATATCACTGGTGTTAAGTGATTAGGACACAGACACATACAAAGGGAAAAAGCTGTGAAGACGCAGGGAGAAGACATCCATCTACAAGGTACAAAGGGAACCAACCAGCCCTGCCAATACTATGATCCTTTATTTTTGACTCCAGAATTTTGAGAAAATAACTTTTTGTTATTTAAGCTACCCAGTCTTTGCTACTTTGTTATGGCAGCTCTAGCAAATTAATACAGAGAATATAGACACATACAAACCCAGTCCAAATATTATGTTTAAGATAACGCATGATTGCATTAGTTATTTTTATAGAAACTCAAAATATTTTATGAACTTTAGCATTTGTAAAAAAATTATTTTTAGTTAGAATTTGTACAGAATTTCAGGTTTTTTCTATTGATTCTTTTAACTTTAAATCGCATTAAAAATCTTAAACCTAATAGTTCTCTCCCAAAATACTGTATTGAAGATATATAGTTTAACAAACATATTACAAGGACTTCACAACTAAAAATAGCATAAGTCATATGTAAACTTTCAGGATATGCAAAATATTTGTTTTACTACCAAGGTAAGTATAGTTAAACTTACTGAAGTTTAACATGGCAGCTCATAACCTTTTAGCGTGCTCACATGCACAACAAGCAAGCAGCTAATAACATCAGAACTTCAGTTTTCTCATCTAGTTCAAGTCTTCTTCCCCAACTGTTGAAACAACTTAGAACAGCCTAATTAACCAGTAAGAAAGTTGGCTTTATTATATTTTATTTAGATTTTCCTATTAGTAATTTAAATTAGTTTTAGCAATTAAAAAAAAAATAAGTCAATGAATATACTTACAGGTCCTGTTAGTTTAGATGCTTTCTCAAATTCGTCACCCTCCTCCATTAGTGCTTCTTCAGTCCCAGGTAAGGAATCTATTTTTATTTTTAAAAAATGAATAAATTATAGTCACATATTGCTTATTAATTCTCTGATATATAAAACTGTTGTGATAATAAAATGACAGAATTTGTTGTTGAAAAAATCATATTGTTTGTGAGTTAAAATAGAACATGAAATAATATTTAACTTAAAAACAACTTATGAAAAATGATAAGTATTTTCAATTTAGAAGGGCACAATAATGTCAGAATGTGCAAGAACCGCAGTTATCTTAGTTATACAAATGAAGCAAGATATTTTGGCATATCATCCAGCTAATTGTTGGAACATAATTATATTTAATGTCCTTTTTCTTTTTTATAATTTTAAAATTATTTGTTTTATCTATCAGTTGTCTCCTTTTGGGGGTTACACAATTTGAGTACTATTTTGTGCTCTCTCTTTCAGATGGAATGGAACGTTCTGAAAAAAGTTCAGAGAAAGGTGGATATTATTAAATGGTGATTGGTTTTCCATTTCAACGTATGAAGCAAGAAGTTGCAATTACTTAGCCTGAATTGAATACATTGATGGGTGAGTGAGTAGTGGCTTTCAAATATGTGGAAAAAAATGATGCAACCTTTTTCATGTGTCTTCTGACATTATAACAACCATCAGAACAACAAGAATTTCTACGGGTTATAAAGAATTCTGTGACAGGGATAGGTAAATGGAGCAACTAGGAATAATCTATCCAGAAGACTGTCGCCTTCCCTTAGTTGAGTTTGAACTCCTTTTCAAATTAAAAAAAAAAAATCAGTTAAGAGAAAGGTATTTTAAACCACTGGATTTAAAAATTAATTTCTTATATTTATTAATACTTGAGGGGATCATATAAAGCCCTAAAGATTTTCCTTTAGCTTTATGTACATATGCAAACAGATTTTTCTGTTTCATAAAACGTATACTCTGAAAAGAGAATTAGAGCATGAAATCTTTCAAACCCTTAATGACCACCAAACACCAGGGAGACAATGGAAAGCTCAGCACAGATCCATAATCATAGCTTTCGAATCATGGAGCTCTCTCTATCTCTGATAACTCAGAATTTTACATTCAAGAAGACAAGTTTCTAAATTCTGGGGCACATAGTTTATGTAGATGTAAATGCGGATTTTGTTTTAGAACACAGAACACCTTCCACCGTAAAACTGACTTCAGGAGAAACACATCGTTCTCAAGTTGTAGGTGAATTTAAAGATTTTAAATCTACCTTTCCTAACAGAACATAGATATTAAAAATAAGCAAGTTTTAGTGGATAAAATCATGAGAGACAACGAGAATTATACCAAATGCAAAACTATTAATCCACTTGTAAAGAATACTTGAAGCTCTAGCTCCCAAAACCCAATTGTAAAGGTGACAATAAATTTGTTAAATTAGGATGTAAATTAAGCATAATTGAAGTCCTCCAAAACAGAATTATATTCTGCAGAACTGTGAGCAAATGCTACTATAATTTTAGTATTCACTCAGTATGTTTCCTGTTTTGTTTATGTATTGAAGTTCTTATTTGAGTAATCTATTGACTTAATAAATAAATAACATTAAAATGTTCTATTCTACATTACGAAGAAAATTATTTCCGTATATAGGACAATAAAATCCACCTTCTCATGGATTTGCTAATTTTTTTAAAGTTAGAAATACTATAAATGAGTTCTCAAGCTCTTCTCCACGAGTAGTTAATGGTTTTTAAGAGATGTCATTCTGCTTGATTATTTATGTATTCATTCTTTCATTTATACATTTACTGTATTTGTATATTTGTGTATTCATTTATTGAACAAATACTATATGCCAAGCACTGCATTAGGTGCTTTCAAAAGAAGTTGAATATTTTCTGTGCACTTTCTTTCATGAAATTTACTTGAACACATTTACAGGGCAGTATTAACTTTTTAACAAAGATGAACATTTATAAAGAGAAAATATTAGTAACTTTGTATTATTTACATTTTGTTCGATTTTGTTTCTGTTGAATTCTCCCTGGTTATTGGTACCATATCCAGAAATCTCCATTGAGCTTAGTATGAAGGGACAACTATAAGTACTGCCAGAACATTTGAGAGTTTACATAACTACTGTTTTTGAAAGTTATGAAGTCAAATAGATACTGCCAAATAGCCCAAATCTAATAATAGGATACCAATCTAACCAGCTAGTAGGGACCAGAGATATCATGAAAGTAAAACCTTAGTGTTTAATGCTTGGAGCAGTAAATACCATTGTTTATGTGTTCTAAGTGCATCGCTTATTAACAGTAACAGGTGAGTACATATGTGCAAGCTTTTTTGCTCTGTTTATTCCAGAGCAATTTCTTTTATGCATGATTTTCAAATGTAAGTAATTTTTTTTAGCTATTTTAAATCACCTGTGGGTGGGTGGGAAATGAGTCCCTAAATTTGTCAAATATTACAGTTTATCTTATATCCTCATTTTAGAGAAGAAGAAACTGAAGCATGGAAAGATAAGGTAATTTTACCAGAAATCTAATAATCCGTGGCAGCAGTAGGACTAAAAATTCAGCCCGTGTGGTTGATTGGACATGTTGGTGGGAAACTAAAAATCTGTAGTTTATTGCAGTGCTTAGCTACATCCAACTTTTTCCAGCCATTATTTTTACTTTTGCTGCTTGTGTCACAACAGACTTTTTAAATGCACAGTTATACCTATTTATAGAAATACTTATGCTTGCCGAGCCAAGTTCAATGTGGATGCACAGTTGACACAAACTGTCAACTTTATAGCACTTTCGGATAGTGCCAATGCTATTCAATTATTGGATCTAGTCATTTGACTAACTTAAGTAGAAAAGAATGTACTAAATCAGAAACTCATATTCTGGAATTTGCAGATTAGGCATACTAATAATTGAATGTGAAGAATGCAGGATTAGGCATTTCAAGAAAAGAGCTTAAAGTATAATCTGCAACACATTCTTGATACATTATTTAATTTCCCAGGAAATTTGAGTCCTTATAATACTCAGTAATTATGTAAATGAGATTGCTGAAGGATATATATAGGTAAAGATTGGTAAGTTGGAGTTATTTTGATAAAATTTAAAAAATTATTGGCAACTAACTAAATAGTGTCTTTCTTGTGCCTGGTTTTGTATTGGGCATGATGAGTAACGTAAGAAAACTTCAAGAAGCATATAATCCAATGGAAGTAGGAGAAACAAACACAGAAGAAGCAATTCAAAAACAATTTGGGAATGAGAGAAAGAAAATATCTGAGAGACTTTACATGATCTTACAGCAGATGATCTAAATAGGCAGAGAAGGGAGGGAAAACGCCTTATTGCTAGTCAGGGAAGGATGGCGTAAGTGAAGATACACATGCAAGAATATCTACGAGCAGAAACCAGACTGACTCCAGAAGCTATGCGAGTGTCAACGAATGGCCAGCCTGGGGCCTCCATGTTGCTAGTGACACATTACTTAATGTTCATTATCAGGGTTAAATGTCTATCATAAGAACATGCCATGTCATCACCACAGATGTGAGTATGTATTAACTATGGCCATTTCTTTGTATTACGCTACATTAACATTGGTTTATGTTCCCTTAGCAGTTTTTAAAAAAATATTTATTACCTAATATTTGACATATAAAAATACAACATCTGTAAAACATTTATATAAATATAACATGCAAAATATATCACAGCTATTAGTATATGTGATATATTTAAATTACAAATTACAAATGACAAAATAAACACCCCAAACCCACCACTTAATAATTAGGGCATTTTCAATAACCTTCATATATGTGTGGGCTCTTTCCTTACCCCATCACCCAGTCTCCCCTTACCCTTGAGAATAACCAATATTTTGTGTTTGTCATTCCCTTCTTTAAATATAGTTTTGTCACTTATGTTTTCCTAAAGAATGTATTGGCTAGATTTGCTTTTTGGAGCTTTATTAAAATGGCATTCTGTGACTTGCTCTTGTTCAAGAAGCATTAGGCTTTTAAAACTCATTTAATGGTGAGCTGCAACTTGCTTATACCAGACTGGGAGAACCAACTACCATTTCAGTTTGGCTGCTGGAAATCAGTCACAGTGGGAGTATTCACACCATGGAAATCATCAATCTCTACAAATCAGGGCTTTCTTTTTTCAGGAAAACAATTGTTCTACATTTACACACTAGAAATCTGAATGCCTTTCAACTACATACAGGGGATCTATTTGTACGTCACTGATTTTATCCATTGCCTGTATGTAGTTGAAACGCATTCAGGTTTCTACTGCGTAAAAAAATTTCATAATTTATCCATTTCCCTGTCTATGAACATACTAACAAGGGTTGTTCATATTTCATGCTATATGAAACTTGTTTCTCTAAAGCATTTACCTAGAAATGGAGTTTTTAGGTTTTAGATTATATAAATGCTCAAGATTTTAAGATAATGGAAAACTTTTCAAAAACTCATATACCTGTAATATACGAGTTTCTTTTTACCTATGACTTCACCAGAACTTAGTTTTGTCAGTTTTCTTAATCAATGCCAATCAAAAGCTTGTAAAAGGAAAAGGATTGTATCTCTCCATGGTCTTAATTTGCTTTTCCATGATCACTAAGGTAGTTTAAGTATTTTTCATCTGCTTGTTGGCCTTTTGTGTTTCCTCTCTGTAAAATGTATATTCATAATTGTTACTTATTTTTCTATTGATGTGTTGATTTTTTATTTATTAAATTGTAGGTGTTCTTCATATTCTGAATATTAATCTTTGATCAGTGGCAATTACATTGCAAATATGTTTCCCTATTTGTGGCTTTTCTTTGGGCATCTATTTTTAATTTTTAATTTTTTTAATAGGTTTTTGGGGAACAGGTGGTGTTTGGTTACATGAATAAGCTATTTAGTGGTGATTTGTGAGATTTTGGTGCACCCATCACCGGAGCAGTGTACACTGTACTCAATGTGTAGTCTTTTATCCCTCACCACCCCCCCACCCTTTCCCCCAAGTCCCCAAAGTCCAATATATCATTCTTAAGCCTTTTCATCCTCATAGCTTAGCTCCCACATATAAGTGAGAACATATGATATTTGGTTTTCCATTCCTGAGTTACTCCACTTAGAATAATAGTCTCCAATTCTGTCCAGGTTGCTGTAAATGCCATTATTTTGTTCCTTTTTAAGGTTGAGTAGTATTCCACTATATATGTATATCACTTTTTTTATCCACTCATTGATTGAGGAGCATTTGGGCTGCTTCCATATTTTTGAAATTTCAAATTGTGCTGCTATAAACATTTATGTGCAAATATCTTTTTCGTATAATGACTTATTTTCATCTGGGTGGATACCTAGTAACAGGATTGCTGGATCAAATGGTAGATCTTCTTTTAGTTCTTTAAGGAATCTCCACACTGTTTTCCAGAGTGGTTGTACTAGTTTACATTCCCACCAACAGTGTAAAAGTGTTCCTTTTTACCACATCCACACCAACATCTATTATTTTTTGATTTTTTTACTATGGCCATTCTTGCAGGAGTGAGGTGGTGTCACATTGTGGTTTCGATTTGCATTTCCCTGATCATTAGTGATGTTGAGCATTTTTCCATATGCTTTTTGGCCACTCATACATCCTCTTGAGAAACGTCTATTCATGTCCTTAGCCCACTTTTTGATAGGATTGTTAGTTTTTTTCTTGCTGATTTGAGTTCTTTGTATTATAGATTCTGGATATTAGTCCTTTGTCAGAAGTATAGATTATGAAGATTTTCTCCCACTCTGCGTTTTCTGCTTACTCTGCTGATTATTTATTTGACTGTGCAGAAGCTTTTTAGTTCAATTAAGTCCCATCTATTTATCTTTGTTTTTGTTGCACTTGCTTTTGGGTTCTTGGTCATGAAGCCTTTACCTAAGCTAATGTCTGGAAGGGTTTTTTCTGATGTTATCTTCTAGAATTTTTATGGTTTCAGTTCTTAAATTTAAGTCCTTGATCCATTTTGAGTTGATTTTTGTGTAAGATGAGAGATGAGGATCCAGTTTCATTCTTCTACATGTGGCTTGCCAATTATCCCAGCACCATTTGTTGAATAGGGTGTCCCTTCCCCACTTTATATTTTTGTTTGCTTTGTTGAAGATCAGTTTTCTGTAAGCATTTGGGTTTATTTCTGGGTTCCTCTATTCTGTTCCAGTGGTCTATGTGCCTATTTTTATAATAGTACTATGCTGTTTTGGTGACTATGGCCTTATAGTATAGTTTGAACTCAGGTAATGTGATTCCTCCAGATTTGTTCTTTTCACCTAGGACAGCTTTAGCTATGCAGGTTCTTTTTTGGTTCCATATGAATTTTAAGATTGTCTTTTCTAGTTCTGTGAAGACTGATGGTAATATTTTGATGGGAATTTCATTGAATTTATAGATTGCTTTTGGCAGTATGGTCATTCTCATAATATTGATTCTACCCGTCCATGAGTATGGGAAGTATTTCCATTTGTTTGTGTGGTTTATAATTTCGTTCAGCAGTGTTTTGTGGTTTTCCTTGTAGAGGTCTTTCATGTCCTTGGTTAGTTATATTCTTAAGTACTTTTTTTTTTACAGATATTATGGAAAGGCTTGAGTTCTTGATTTGATTCTCAGTGTGGTCGCTGTTGGTATACAACAGAGCTACTGATATGTGTACATTAATTTTGTATCCTGAAACTTTGCTGAATTCATTTACCAGTTCTAGGAGCTTTTTGGATGAGTCTTTAGAGTTTTCTAGGTATATAATCATATCATCAGCAAACAGTGACAGTTTGACTTCCTCTTCACTGATCTGGATGCCCTTTATTCCTTCTCTTGTCTGATTGCTCTGGCTGGGACTTCCAGTACTATGTGAATAGAAGTGGTGAAAGTGGGCATCTTTGTCTTCTTTCAGTTATCAGGGAGAATGCTTTCAATTTTTCCCTGTTCAGTATAATGCTGGCTGTGGGTTTTTCATAGATGGCTTTTTTACCTTAAGGTATGAACCTTCTATAACAATTTTGCTGAGGGTTTTAATCCTAAAGGGATGCTGGATTTTGTCTGATGCTTTTTCTGCCTTTATTGAGATGATTATGTGATTTTTGTTTTTAATTCTGTTTATGTGCTATGCTACATTTATTGACTTGCATATGTTAAACTATCCCTGCATCCAAGGTATGAAACCCACTTGATCCTGGTGGATTATCTTTTTGATACTCTGTTGGATTTGGTTTACTAGCATTTTGTGAGGATGTTTGCATATATGTTCAAGGATACTGGCCTATAGTTTTCTTTCTGTGTTATGTCCTTCCCTGGTTTTGGCATTAGGGTAATATTGGCTTCATAAAATGATTTAGAAAGGATTACCTCTTTCTCTATCTTTTGAAATAGTGCCAATTCTTCTTTGAATTGTCTGATAGAATTCAGCTGTGAATTCATCTGGTCCCTAACTTATTTTTGTTGGTAATTTTTAATTACTATTTCAATCTCACAGCTTGTTATTGGTCTGTTTAGAGATTCTATATCATCCTGGTTTAATCTAGAAGGGTTGTATATTTCCAGGAATTTATCCATCTCCTCTAGGTTTTCCAGTTTATATGTGTACAGATGTTCATAGTAGCCTTTAATAATCTATGTGTTTCTGTGGTATCAGTAGTAATATCTCCTGTTTCATTTCTAATATAGCTTGTTTGCATCTTCTTTCTTCTTTTCTTGGTTAATCTTACTATATTTATCTTTTCAAAAACCAATTTTTTGTTTCATCTATCTTTTGTAATATTTTTGTTTCAGTTTCTTGTAGTTCTCCTCTGATCTTTGTTATTTCTTTTCTTCTTCTGGGTTTGGATAGTTCTTGTTTCTCCAGTCCCAGGAGGTATGACATTAGATTATCTGTTTGTGCTCTTTCAGACTTTTTGATGTAGGCATTTAATGCTATGAACTTTCCTCTTAGCACTACTTTTACTGTATCCCAGAGGTTTTGATAGGTTGTGTTACTGTTATTGTTCAGTTCAAAGAACTTTTTAATTTCCATCTTGATTTCCTTGTTGACCCCATGATCATTGAGGAGCAGGTTATTTAATTTCCATGTATTTGCATGGTTTTGCAGCTTCCTTTTGGATTTGATTTCCAATTTTATTCCAGTGTGGTCTCAGAGAGTACTTGATATAATTTTGATTTTCTTAAATTTACTGAGACTTGTTGTGTGGCCTATCATATGGTTTATTTTGGGGAATATTTCATGTGCTGATGAATAGAATGTATATTCTGCAGTTGTTGGGTAGACTGTTTGGTAAATATCTGTCAAGTTTAGGTCCATTGTTTCTTTGTTGACTTTCTGTCTGGATGACCTGTCTAGTGCTGTCAGTGGAGTATTCAAGTCCACCACTATTATTGTGTTTCCATCTGTCTCATTTCTTAGATCTAGTGGTAATTGTTTTATAAATTTGGAAGCTCCAGTGTTAGGCATATATATATATTTAGGATTGTGACATTTTCCTGTTGAACTAGTCTTTTTATCATTATATAATGTTCCACTTTGTTTATTTTTAACTGCTGTTGCTTTAAAGTTTGTTTCATCTGATATAAAAATACCTACTCCTACTTGCTTTTGGTGTCCATTTGCATGGAATACCTTTTTCTACCCCTTCACCTTAAGTTGATATGAGTCGTTATGTGTTAGGCGAGTCTCCTGAAGACAGCAGAAACTTGGCTGGTGAATTCTTATCCATTTTGCCATTCTGTGTATTCTAAGTGGAGCATTTAGGCCATTTACATTCAATGTTAGTATAGCAAGTGACAAGGGGCAGAGAAACAGTTTCATTTTCTAGAAATCCAGCTGACAACGTGGATTTCTAAAGTTTGAATTAGTGACATAATATAGGGAGTAGCCAACTTACAGTTGATCTGTTTGGACCTTAAACAGAACAGGGGCATAAAGAGATTACTCCTCAGAATCCACACTTCTCAATTCCTTCTATCCTTTGCTCTTATCCTGACACAAACAGCCCCAAGGAGTGTGCCAGTGGTAGATACGTGACCTGCAGCTACAGTGAATTCACGCAAAGGAAGATGTCTGGTTTACTTTTTTCCTTTATTTCTTTAATGTTTAAGTGCCACTAGAACTGCAATAAATATTGTTGAACTTAAAACTTACCGAATGAATCTGGGATTTTTTCATCTGGAGAATGAAGCATTGGTAGTGACTCTTCTGTCCTTTCTTCCAGATTGTCTCCTTGAAGCCTAAATAATTAAAAATGGTCATTGCAACATCTTATAATGTTAAATTGTGAAGTGTGAACTATGCACCATGGGGAAAATGGCTGTGAACTTCAAGAATCTAAACTCAGATATGCATGTTCAAAATAGAAATATAAGTTCACTAAAGCCATTTTAATATAAGATTTTTGCTGTTCTAACCATTAAGGAGAAGTCTTCTATATTTTCTGTTATACACATGCCAGGATTTATCTAGGTAGAATCTGCTTTTCTTCTCAGCCTGATCGTAGAAAAGTTTAGAAGCACATATTTTCACTTAAACCCCAAATGGGAATTGAGTGGAAGGAAAACAAGAGGCCACACAGTGTGCTCGCCTAGCATCAGGGTCTGGGAGTCATAAAAGGGTTTTCTTGATTCCACAGAGGTTTATCAAACACAGTCTTCCAAATCAACCAACCTAAGCTTTAAGGCCTGTGGGTTGAGATATGTATCAGCAGTAGAGGTAAAGATTCCTAAGGTGTGACTGCCCAGGCTTCTCATAGACACTGAGCCTTCCTCAGGAGAGAACAATAAATACAGGCATAATTTATAACTATACTGGATTGCTTCAAATGTTATAATGTTACGTAAGTTGTAATTTTTATAAATGTTATAATTCTCAGCCATTTTATATCTTTGCTTTTATACACCACAGCAGAATCTCATATAATTTGCTTTTTGACTTTTACAAATTCAATCATATATGCATATCTCTTGATCTTCTGTGTAATTACAAACAATGTAAATTATATATGCACCATAATTTTTATAATATTAAATTCTGCACATCCCTCTATTATACATTTATACTTACTTATTACCTTCTGTATATGAAATCACACTTACTGTATTGTATAAGAAAATTAAACAATTCTCAAGGGGAATTCCCTGAAAGTTGTAACATTTTTTGCTAAACTTTGTGTGGTTTTGTACTTTTAATTAATTTTTTAATTAATTTTGTAAAAAGGCCACTTTTAAATAAATAAATTAGCCACATATTTTTCAAATATTCTCTACTTTTTATTATATTCCCTTTGGATAATCAATTTCAGTATTCAGCAATATCAAATATTCTGTTGTGGGCTCTCTTTGTCCAGGACCATTCTATCAAAATCATATCAAAGAGAGAAGGTACAGAGATGCATTAAATATTAAAAGGTATGAGTAAAAATTATTATTGAAAATTCACAATGAACTCCAACACATTGGGATATTTAATATTAAGTTAAAACCCCAGGCCAGGTGTGGTGGCTCACTCCTGTAATTTCAGCACTTTGGGAGGCTAAAGCAGGCAGATCGGTTAAGGCCAGGAGTTCAAGTCTGCAGTGAGCCATGATCACGCCACTGCACTCCAACTGGGGTGACAGAGTGAGCGCCCCTGTCTCTAAAAAAAGGAAATTTTTTTTTTAATCCTAAAAAGAAAATAAATCTCCAACAAAGACAGAAGGAAGCAAGATCTAAAAACAGTGCTGTAATTTTTGTTTGCTTGTTGTATTCATCAATAAAACAAAATATTTATTTAGCACTTATTAATATGCTCAAGCATAAGCCAAATGTCATAGAGATGCAAAGAAATTATAGCTGTCCCTGATAGGCTAATTAATATATCTTAGTGGAAGAGACCAATGGCTATGGACAAAAACTCAACAAATTGGGTGGCCTTGCAGCTGGCTTGTCCTTGTCCACACAGTGCCCTCCAGATACCTTAAGAGCTGAGTTTACTATGACTTGGCACCAATTCCATTGCGGAATGCTTCACAGCCCTGCCATCCTCAAGTGCTCTGCCAATATTTCCCAAGCTGTAATCCACACAGCACCACTTCTGTAAGAGGTTAATGGGTACTGTGCAAACAAGGGGTGTGTGGGCAAGTCCGGGAAATACAGTCTAAATAAAAGTTAAATTGTTTTCTGTTTTTTTACCATAAGAGTTTTACTCATACTCCCAAAGCTTTTTGCTTTGCTTTCTAAAACTCCTTTTCCATATTAAACAAACTCCCTTATATTTTCAGCCCCTAAACAGAATGTTGGCTGCTCGTCGTTTTCATATTGGAAAGTCTCCCCTAAGAATATCACATCCCTTTTCTCTAAGACTCTTCCAGTACCTCCTCTCCCTGGGAGGCTGCCTGACCCACCAACCTGAGATAGCACAGGATTATGTGTAACATTCTTCTCTCTGTCTGCAACAACTTGGGTCAGGCTTGGAATTTTCTTCTTCAACTCAAGTGTTATTATTATCCTGAGTGATTTTGATATTCATGTGTATCTACCTGCTAATCTTAAAGTCCCTTGACCTCCTCACATTTGGAGATCTTCCCTTCCACTTCACCTTCCTTAACCCAAGTACAGACTTGGAATTGCTTCACGGCAGAAATCTGTAAGCCCCGTGTTCTGGTCTCCAAAAACAAACTCACCTACTTCAGGCTCTTTCACAGTGTCACTCTCCTTAATACTTTCCATCCAACCAAATATTAACAAACCTCCATTTCCCTATTCTTTCCCCTGAGTATCAGGGAATGTCCCCTCCTGCTTCCTTGCCTTCCCTGCTCAGTTGGGACTCATTGTCTCAGCTTCTCTGCACCCCTGTCCTCTGTCACTCCTGCAAAGGCAGACTTCAAGCCTATATTCACCTACCGTTTTTCCCGCACATGTGCTACTGAACAATAGTCGAGAAAATCATCATTCTAGGATTGGTGACTATAAATCAGTGATCTCTAACTTTAAACTTGAACTTTTTGGTTGTCTTTCTTTTTTCCATTCCTTTGAAAGTATTTTCAAAAATCTCGCCATCAGTTCTCCTCTGTGTCACCCAGAACAATGATGTAATCAGGAGTACAGGCCTCATCTTGCCCTCACACACCACCTCCAGAATTATCTTCACCCTGATCTGTATTCACCACCTTTCCAATGCACACAGCACAAGAGGCCCTGTCTCCTGTGTAAGGCTGAGGTTATCCATTATGCTGGAAAGATTAGGATCTCAATGTCTCATCAACCTATTTTATCCACTGTCACCCCACCACCAGTATTTTTTCTGTTTTTTTCCACTATCATTTCCCACAGCATATGAACAAGCTCACTTCTCTTTCAGTCTTTAAAAAAAAAAAAACCCACAAAAATAAAATACCTCCCTTAATTATGTAAAATAACTAGCTGTTTCCTTTTCATGCTCAATCCTCTTTGAGCCAAACTCCCATATTTTTCATTCAATGCCTTTACATCCACAGTTTTTATTCACCCCTCAACCTATTTTAATTTGGTTTGTGCCTCCACCACGAGAAAACAGCTTATGCCGACTGCCTGACCTCCTAATTGCCTTGCACAATGGGAAATTTGCAGCCCTTGTCTTTATTTGACCTTGTGGTCAAATAGATGTATTAATATCTATTTGTTCTTAAGGCAGTCACTGCTTTTCTTCTGTGGCCCTTGTCTCTCCTGCATATCTGACTACCATTTCTCAGTCTCTTTTAAAGGCTTTCTCTCTTTGTAAACCCATAAATATTATATTTTCCCTCAGCTCTATCCAAGGCCCTCCTTTTCCAATTCTAATCATCTCCCTGAATCATCTCATCCACTTTGATAGCTTTTTTAAGTTCATATAGGTTGAGAAATTTTAAATCTTTATCTTAAACCATCAGCTCAAGATTGGCGTACCCAAATTCTTATAGGACATATTACTTGTATGCAAGATAAGCTCCTCAAAGGCAACATGTCCAAAAGCAAACTCATCTTCGGAATCACTCTGCCTCTCATTGCACATGGCAAACCAATCTGTCTTGCTGAATCTACTTCTTAAAGAAATGTCTCGAATCCATCACTTCTTTATAGTACTGCCATAGTGTGACTTCTTATCTTGATTTGTCTGGATTATTGTGTAGTTTCCTTACAGACAGCCATACTTAGAAACCCCTTTTCCATATGGCTACTAGAATGTCCAAAACACAAATCCAGCCATATTTTTCTCATATTTTAAATATTTTAGAGCAAGAGGTCTTAACATTATATTCATGTTAACATTATACTCATGTTAAGACATGGGTATACTCATGTTGCTCTAAATATTTTATGAGTATAATGTTAAGACATCTTGCTTTAAAATAAAGCATGACAATATTATGGCTAGATTGGTGAGCAAGCGGTCTTAACATGAGTATATAATCACAATAGTTCACAGTGAATGGAATGAAGAGTTGTGGGTAGATGTGATCTTTTTTGGAGAGAGAGACACTAATTTTAGCCAGCTTCTCAAAATAACCCTTGACTCACAAGGATTTTAGAACTACCATTTTTATTGGCTTCTCATTACCTACAAGATGAGTTATGTCTCCTTCATAAGTCATTTGAGTCTCTATATTGCATAATCCCTACCTGTGTCTGCAAATTCATCTTCTTCGATCCTCCAGCATGGAATTTATACTCCATAAACTCCAAACTGCTTTTACTTTTTTCAGGAATTTTTATTAAGCCTCTGTGTCACTATACTATTATTTCTGGCAGACTATATCTACACCTCCCCACGGCACCATCCCTCTGCATTTTACTATCTGGCTTGTTTCTAGGATTTCATTCTAGATTCTCCTCTTTTCTGAAGGTTTTCTTCCAAAAGTCTTACCACCTGTGCAAATCTTTACCACAGCTCTTACTTCAACTGTGATTTAATTATTTACGTAGATGTCTGTGTTTGCCAAAACACTGCAAGTGTCTTAAAGGAAAAGATTTTGTTTTTCCTATTTTTATGTAATTAAAGTCTAGTTTAGATAGAGCTTGGTACATTGTAAACTCTAAAAGAGATTTCTTAAGGTACTTCTTAGTGATTATTTCATCTTGGAGATAAAGAAAAGAAAATGTGGCCCAGCCCTATATTGGGGATTTTGTATAGAATACTATAGTATACTTATAACTATATTCCCTTGAAAAGTGGTAATAATTATGCTGCATATATTTAAGGTTAAGCTCTTAGCCTGGTTCACCCTGTGCAGGGTGTGAGG